TTTTTTTATTTTGTACAAACAAAATAAATATATTGAAAAATATAAAAATAATAAAAAATTATACTTCAGATGTTAATTTAGTATCAAAAACGTAAAATATTTGAGTAGCCCAAGACATAGCCAAAGATTGAAGCGCCACAGCACTGGCGAAAATTTAAATTTGCCGACTGGAATTCTTTTGGATGATTGATGTTTCGGATGATTGACTTTCGGAAAATCAACGCTCTACTGTATTTTTATTCTCAAATATATCAATTTCACTTCTAACTGGATACAAATGTAATTTCAATTTAATTGAAATTAGTTATAGTTGTAGTTGATATTCAGTTAGATACACGACTCTTCATTATTTTCAATGTAAATATTTTTACATTAAAATAAAAAACTTGAAACATGAAAATATTATACATTTGTGCAGAAGAAGGATATGTTATGTGTAGAATAATTTTGCTATTTTTTATGATGAATAGAGATACTGTGAAACTTTTTGGAAAGTAGTAATTTAATGGCTATACAGTCAAACTTTGATACAGTGCTTTTTTAAATAGCACTGCCTTGTAAATTGCCAATGAATGCATTTGAACAGATCTTATTCATAAAGACGTTGTCCATTAATTGCATATATAGTTGAAGAGAGTTATGAAAGGTACAGTACATCATTGTACACAATGGGGAGGGAGGGAATTAGGGCATTGTTTACTTGAACTTTTTTTAATGGTATTAGTAGGATTTAAACTTGTTCTTATAAGCTTTTTTATTAGTCATGTGAATAAATTGTCAGTTAGAAAATATTTGAGAACTTTTCTAAGTCATTTTTTTAATGTCTGGGGATTATTGAACTGTTGTACACATAATTAAATGGAAGGAGTTTGTAAAAAGTACATCATTGTACAAACAGGAAGGAAGAGTGTCAAAAGTGGCTCAAAAACTGTACATGTAATTAATAGATGCTCCAAATATTAAATAAAGAATCTTTTAGTATCTGTGAATTATTAAATGTATGATTTTGCATCACAAATGACATTGAAAATTATGTCATTTTCAGATGTTTAGCTTTAAACTTGTAAGCCTTATTACTATATATAATTCTTTCTATCTGAGGTAACTTGATTTAGTTTTGATTCCAAAGATGAGCAAATGGTGCCATTAATTGAGTTTTAACTATGTTTTATTCTAAAGAAAACAGTGATACATATATTCATCAAACAATTATGCTGAAATTTCAAAATTTGCATGACATTTTTAAGATTTTGTGGTTGTGTTTATAAATTTATTATTTTGCTGGAAATATTTTCACATATACAGTTTTTCAATTTCAAGCATTTGTCAATTATAAAATAATAAAAAAATTTCAAATACAATGACATTAAAATAGAAAATAGCAATTAATCTTCATTTTTAATTTTTTTTACTTGTTAATTTTAAATTATTTTATGATATAAGCTACGATATATTAAATTTGCTAAAATTGGTTCTAAGAATTCTGAAAACTGTAGAATTAAATTTGTTAATAAATAATATGATCTGAAAATATGTTAATGAAGAAATCAATTATTTTTATAATACAGTCAACCCCCGTATAAGATCATTGATTATTCCGTTTTATATGAATTCCATGTTGTACGAGTCACTTAGATTTTACAAATACGTGTACCAGGCTGTGAACGGCTCACGTATTTGTAAAATTTAAGTGACTTGTACAACATGGAATTCATATAAAACGGAATAATCAATGATCTTATATGGGGGTCGACTGTAAGTCAAATGATTGCTGAATTTTCGGTCTACTGCTATTATTAACGACTAAGTATTATGTGATTTGGTACTAGAGATAGGCATTAGGTGCTATTAAATTTAATAATTATAATTAAATTAATATACAGGGTGTTTTTTTAAACTGACGGTACTAAGGGACATCTGTAGAGCAATCTAACATTCATTCATTCATTCAATATCTTTTATTACGTATCAAAATTTGTACATATCCAGTTCTGCATGGCACTACCGGGAATAAAATACATGAAGTTTGAACGATGAGATGACAGTATGTTTTTATAGTGAATACAGAGTAATGTAAGATTGAGTAAGATTCAAGTACAATAATTACGATGAAACAATTCAATTCATATTGCAAGACGAAAGAGATGCACTGAGATTGCAAGTTATAAAGAAAAAAATATAACAAAACATGATTACAAACAAAATTAAAATAATATACAGGTTACGGTAAATTAATTAACAGTACAGCATCATATCATAGAATGACATCACTACGTCTATGGATATTAGACATAACATAAGTTACATTAGGATGTTTACAATTATGCATACGTATGATTAAGATTGAGATAATGTACAATAGTTAATACAATAAATACAATTAATTGCATGAGCATTGTTGTTTTTACAAGAGTAGAACGAGACAAAACGTTACAAGGACTAATATGCTGACATATGTACAATATATACAATAAGCCAAGGCGGAGGTGCTGGAATAGCACAGAGCTGCTTAAGAACTATTCACTGGTGGTGGTGGGAGCTATGAGCTCATAGGCGTGCATGAGGTTGAGGAAGGCTGCATACAGTTCCTTGTGCTTCAAGAGTTCTGTCTGTTGACATGGCCAGGAGATATCAAGGCTACGTGCCGTAAGTTTGATAGCAAGTCTTTCCTTAGCTAGACAGATGCAATTGTAGATGTAGTGGTCTGGGCCATCTGCCGTCTTGCAGATGGCAAGAGCAATCTAACAGCCGGACTGTTGCCAAATTTGGGAGAGTGACTAAGGATGACAATGGAAAGAGATTTCGCACAGAAAAAAAGTAGTACCCAAATTCGCCAGTAGGGGTGGATTTGGCGCTGCTATAGCTAAGAATTTGCATAACACACTGGTAACACCTCAAAATCCAAGTTCACAATGATGTGGTTGACAGCAGCACCACCTAATTTGAGCTTAAAAGACAAGGACAAAAGTTGAAGCACATTCCGGACTTCAGCAGAGTTCAACATGCACCTTTCGTTACCTCAGCATGCATTGCTTTTGAAACTTTATTATCTTAACCAATCGAGTGCACCAGGCACTCTTCGTGAGTTTAGAATCTGTAACAACCTGCGCAAAGATCCTCTATCAATTAATGCATTGAAAGACTTGATAAAGAAATTTGAAGAGACAGCATCCTTAGCAGTTCTGCCTGGTAGAGGGCAAAAACTAGTGTCTATACAGACAGTTTGTGATGTTGCGATTGCACTCATTGAAGGTTCTAACTTGCGGATCTAACCCATGTGACTTTTTTTTGTGGAGTTACTTAAAGTCCAAGGTCTATCTTGGTGGTGTCCCCAACTTGATGACCTCGAAGGACATCATTTCTCGAACTGTAATGAACATTCCTGCAGACATGTTACGTTCGGCCATAGAGAACACGGTGTTCAAGATGCAATGTGTTGTCCAGCAGGACTGTTGTCACATTGAAGGAGGGAGAAGATTATTTGCTGATTAATTAAACTTTCATTATTGCACTGAAACCTCTATCTGATTATTCATTTGTGTGTTCATTAATTGCAGTTAAGTTTTATGCAAATTTTTAGCTGTTTTGCTACAGCAGCACCAAATCCACCCCTATTAGCGAATTTGGGTATTACTTTTTTCTTTGCGGAGTCTCTTTCCCATGTCGTCCTTAGTCACTCTCCCAAATTTGGCAACAGTCCGGCTGTTAGATTGCTCTACAGATGTCTCTGAGTACCGTCAGTTTAAAAAAAACACCCTGTATATTAAATAATTTAGAATATTCTGAAAGAAAAGAATCTGCTCAGAGCAGGACTAGAATCTACAACTCACACTTACTGTGCAGATGTGCTGCCAGTTATGCTATCCAGACCACCATCTGATCCTCCATTCCCAGAAATATTTCAATTTGGATATAACCATCCTTAGTACTTTCTTCCATAATATTTTAAGTTATTTAATATATATTAATTATAATTATTAAATTTAATAAGAGATGGTGCCTAATGCATACCTCTAGTACCAAATTATGTAATATTTAATCATTAATATAAAGTAAAGTAGCCCAAAAAATATGGCAATTGTTTGGCTTAGTACAAAAATATCAGGTTTTTAGATGTTTATATATGTATACCAATTATTTTAAATTTTGTACTTTTGTCAGTTATTTTAAAAACATGTTTTATTTATTTTAGTTGGAAACATTTACAAAATTTGGATTACAGAAAATTTTTAATGCTTGGAAGAAAAAAGTACGTACTCGTAAGATTAATTCAAATTGTGCGTATTTAAAAAGAAATTTATTTATGTTAGATTCTGTAAGTAAAATTCTTTTACTTTTCAGTTTAATTATAACAGTAATTTACTGTATATTATGTTTATTTTATAGAATATTTCAAAATAATTACTTTATAATTTTGAATGATAAGTTTTGAAATTTTATGATAATACTTCTTGGATAATGAATTATTTTATTTTTATGGCTGTGAAGATTCAAATAAAATTATTAATCTTAATTGATATAAAATATTTTCTATAGATTTAATATTTCTTGAAATTTTAATTGTGTGCGCAATCCAGAATATAAACAGTTTACTTGTGTATGAACTGCTAGAAATTATCATCAAACTTTATTCCCAATCATATGCATTTTTTTTTTATGTATATATATAATACTCTTTCTGCCCTGTGGGCACTAAAGCTTAGTTCACACTGAATAACCCGTCAAACAAGTCATGTTTGACCGGTTATTTGCTCTGTTTTTCGCTTTCGCTAGCGAATCGCACTCAGTGTGAACTAAGCTTAAGAGGGCCTCTTATAACAGGCCCATTATGGGTTTGGCCAGGCCCACGAGGCGACCGGGTGGTGAGGGACAGGGCCCGACATATCTGAACGAATCGCCCCCCCCGAAAAATTCCTGGGGATTCCTTGACCCATTCGGATTCGATCCCGGGTCCCCCAGAGCAGTAGGCTGCCACTTTGACCGTTCGGCCATCTGGCCTACAATCATATGCATTCACGATCCAGTTTGTTCACACTGTTGTACTGACCAATTGTTTGGATTACTGATTGAGAACATTCTTTTAAATCTGTTATTCTAGAACAGTGATTCTAAAGCTTTGAAAGCAGATCCTTATATAAATGATATATTTTGGCAGGTTCCCCTAATAATTTAGGTATTAAAATGAATTATTTAGAATTATTTTTATTCTACATTTTTTAATATTATTATACTTTTATATATATATATATAAATGAAGATCTTTTTGTTTGTTTGTTTGCTATACATGTCTAGGCTGTTTGACCAATTACTACAAAACTCTACAGTTATGTTTGTAACTTCTAACTTAGATAATGTTGTACATCCCACCTCAAATTATCAACTTGATTTCTATAAATAAATTAATTTCTGTGTACATTTGATTGCTGGCTTTATATGTAGCACCATCTGTTGGAAAAAATTTAACAAAATAATTAACTAAATATAATTCTTACAAACAAGTAAAACGGCAAAGCCATTCTTGGGACGAGACTATCTCTTGGAGAGTCTAGCAACACATGCACAAATCTCACACTTGTGCCTGTTTGTAGAAACAGTCTCAGCATTTTGTATTTTATTTTGACCTGGTTCTCAGTCCCCTGACTACCTACAAGTCTGGTTTATTTTATGTATGCATGATTTGGGTAGCAAATACTCTGTGCCAAATTGCAACTCCTGACTTACCTCTAAGGTGTGCAGCCATTGACAGCAGTGCAATTATAGAGATGAGACATAGTCTCGTCAAACAGGATTGAATTTTAAAAAATATATAATATATTATATTAACTGAATTACTGCAATAATGATATAGAACAAAATACATGATCCATTACTCCATTACTGCGACAGATAGCACATTTGCTATGGAATTTAGTAGTGTTTTGCCCCTGTACATCATACTTTTCCTGTTAGTAGTAGGATCATGCCTGTTATGTATCTAACTTTGTTGAGTGAAAAATTTTTTAATTGAAATTACATGACCTGCAATGCAAAGCAGAAGTTTGTTTATGAATAATTTGTTATCACTACTAAGTGCTTATACAGATACTTGGCAATTCTGACATCAACTTTTATTTGGGAATTTTTATTTTTTATAAAAAAATTATAAATTAAGAATGTTTATTTTTTTAATAAAAGATATCTGTACAAATGAAGTTGATATATTACCACATTAACAATTATTATTACTCAGAAATTATTACAGATATAAATGATTTATTAAAGTTATTAAATTGACTTTATAAAATACAAACATTTATGCCAATGATTTTTATATAATGTATGATTTTTATTTTTTATTATCAATGTGTCTTTCTTTTATTTTTATGTATATCTTATATTTTTTGTTAATTTTAAATGTATTTTATTGTAATGTTGGGTAATTTTGTTATATGGGATGGAAATCTATTGTCTATAGACAGCTCTGATTAAATAAATAAATAAAAATTATATTATTTTTAAAATTTTAAAGTTACTTTAATCAAATATTCAATACAACATTAGAATAGTGTATGATTTCAATTATCTAAATGTCAGTTTTGTTAACAATATTAAAATCAAACAAATTTTAATTACATTTAATTAATTTTTTTAGTCTCTATGTCCAACTCTTTTATCAGCATACAGTTGCTGTTTTGACTTCAGTCAGAAACAATTATTTAATATTGATAAAAAGACAACTTATTCTCTTCAGAAATTTGAGAAATTAGCCTTAGAAAACATAGAACAAGTAAGAGATATTTTAAAATGTTTTAATTTCTTTTATATAATATAGCAAATAAATTATAGTTATTTCATTATTGTATTTTGTTTACATATAATGTTTGCAATTTTCAAATTTTATCATTTTTGTAATTTAATTTTATTTAAAATAAAATATTTATATATCTGAAGTTTTATTATATAGTTTATCAAAAATAAACACTGCAAAAACCTAACAAACCAGTGAGAAAATTATACACAAAGTACAAATGTTTTCACCCATGTTAAATGAGCATTGCCAGGCAACAAACTGCTGGGAAGATACAGGGGATTGCCGAACACATGTGTAGAGGAAGGGGTGTATGATGTAAGAAGAGAGGAGGGTTTATATTTCATACAAAGACTTCTAGGCAATGGGGTTTATCTAACACAAATATGGACTTTATGTATTAATTCATTAATTAATCAGTTTATCACAAATGTAAATTTCTCTCTTCAAAAGTTACATAAAAGTTTAATTAAACAAATGAATGAAAATTAAGAGTCAAGGAATTTTAGTTAGCAAATGATTTTAAAAAAATGTGAATTATTATTCATTTGTTACAAAATTACATTGGCAATGCCATAATGCAATGATAGTCATCCCCAAAATAATGTTAAATAGTAAGCTTAATAATCATTTTAATTGTCTAACATTAATTGAATATTTAAATTGTACATGTATTAATGTTAATTTGTCAGCTTTTAAGTGCATTTAGTAAACATTTCTCATTAATTTAATTAGCTTCCTTAGAACTGATTTTAAACTGTGCTTTCTTAATTGTTTGTCATATTTTACTCATCTGTTCATAATGTCATTGTCCTTGCTGTTGATATTTATATAAATTTTCAAATGATATTATATTAACTCTATTGCTAGATAGTCATGGGCGTAGTGAGGGGGGGAGCCTGGGTGGGCACGGCCCCTCTCAGGGAACCTGGTGCCCTCCCCAGGAAATCACAGCCGAAAAAGTGTTGAGTCGATTTGTAAAAACCTAAAGCTAAAATAAAAGTTTTGAATACTAAAAAAAGGTGAACGGCTTGCTCGGTGCCCAATAATGAACAATAATTTGAAATAATTCAATTTTGTGTCAGGTTGGCCTCCACTAGGCCCCCATAACAAAACTCTGGCTACGCCCATGTAGATAGTCATTTTACAACAAAATTTATAGTACCTATTTCAGCATGATATTAATTTTCACAATAATTTAAGCTTCATTTAAACTCCTAAAATTTTAAAATATTTGATAAGTAAATTTTAAAATTGATTTTAATCCATTTATACTTCTTGACTAAATGTCTTTTTTCAATAAATAATAACAAAATTGGTATTTATACTATGAGAAGGCTCTGATTTATCTGTTTTTATTACATAAAATATAATTTTTTTCTTTATTTTGTAATGAATATTTTTTTTAATAGTAAAAACTATGAGCTTTCTGTAAATAATTACAATAATTGTATAAATTATTATGTAATGAAATAAACTGTATTTTATAAGTGATATATTTATACAAATCCAGTTTTTGAGATAGATTGAATATGGCTATGTTGGCCAAGTCCTATTGTAAATCTGTTCTAAAACTTTGCAGAACATTGGTTAAATTAAGCTTTCTTTGTAAATCCAGGGATTTGAAATCACGTAATCAGTTCGAACTTTTAAAAATTAATAAATAATAATGATCAATTCATAGAAGATAGAATAATCACTGCATAATCCAACTAATAATCAAAAATTATAGAAAAAATACTGTAAAACTGCAATCTAATGACTAATTCAGGTGAGGAGGTGTTTGTTATATAATAAAGTAGGTTCTCCAAAATGCATGGGTTAAAAAATTGACAAATTAGTCACTTTATTTGTTTTTACTTATATAGATATGTTTAAGTAATTAAAATTAAGAATGTATGAGAAGTTTAATTTTACTGAAAAGTTTTCTCTGTATTATTGCTTCTGTATTTATTGTAGTTCTGAGACTGTAGTAAACAAGTATATAATTTAAACGAAAATAAACAAACAAGCATTTTTTGGAAAATACACTTTAATTGTATTTAACCAAACAAATAAATAATATTCTTAAAAAAAGAAAACAAAATTTACATTTGACAGAAACACAAAAAATATTTCCTATTTATTTTTCTTCAGATGATGATATATCAAGATACTCTCATTATGACTTGAAGTTAAGAACAGTGACTCATGAATTCAAAAAAAATAACATGTTAATTTAATTACATATAAAATATATTTTAAAATTAACAGGGCATTTATTTTTCCATATGACATACAGCCCAAAAATTTTGTTTGTTAAATCTAAAGTCCCTTAAATTGAGATTTTTACTGTATTAATAAATCTGTATTTTTAGATTACTGAAAAAGCCAAAGATTTTACAAACAGTCTGAAGAAAATTATTTATGAAATTTGTTGTTCTATATTATGGCAAAAAGGCTTTGTTTCTGATTTTTTTAAAAAAGAAATAAAATTGGCACTGCCAGGTATGTATTCTAAAATATTTTATATAAATTATTTAGCAATATATATTGTTAGTTGATAAAAAGTATGAAATTAATAACAGTTTTCATTTGAATTTTTGAAATAATTTTTAACTTTGTGGCTGTATGCCATATTGTCTGCTTTTGTCTTTTTGTTATTCTTACATTTTTCCCTGTTCTTTGTTCTTTCCAACTTTGAGAAGTTTCTAATCTCCTTAATTCTTTTTTCTTGGAGGTGAGGGTCACTCACTTCCTGGAATCACCAGCATTATAAATATGAGATTACCTGAGGGCATACAAGGCTAAGGAAGTCACCTTTGAGCTAGTGCTCAAAGAGAAAGGATGACAAAAGAAGAGAGATGTTACAGTGTCTGGTGCCCTAGTAGACAGGTGAAATCATAACTTTGAGCAGGAACCGTGAAATATTCATGCTGAAGTTAATGTGTTAGAGTCAGTATTCAATTTGACCAGTTGCAATTTTCAATTGAGTGATTGACAATTTGGACCCAAGGAAAAGAAGACAGAAGTGCATATAGTCTGTAAGAAGTTTCCACATAGCTTCTCACAACAATAGAAAGACATTTATTTACAGTCTAGAACACACAATATAATATACAATTTACAATTGCTACTTTGTTATATTAAATACATTGAATGAATAATTATTTGTTTCAGATATCTTATATGCACTCATTGACAAATAAGTTATGCACCAAGAAGGAAGCATTAGAATTGAATGAAACTTTATTATTATGAATGTAATTGTAATGGTAATAAGTGATTACAATATCATACCAAAGGTTTTCCTGTAGAACAACAGCACAGTTTTTAAAGAAACATTTAGTACTTTGTAGGACCTCCTCTTTTCTGGATGCATGTCGCAATGTGGTTGGACATGGAAGCATATTGGCATATATACTATTCTGTAACAGATTTGCCTACAGATATTGCAAATGTCACTACAGATCTCACACATGATCAAAGCTGGCATCCCATCTGTCCCACAAATGCTCAATGGGTGACAAATTTGGACATTGAGCAGGCCAAGGAAGTGTGACAATGTGATGTAGACATTCCTGGGAAACCTTAAGTATCTGTGGCTGATCATTATTTTGCTAGAAAATCGGTGCAGCTCTGCCATAAAAGATAACATAAAAAGGTACAGAATTTCCTGAATTCACTGTGTTGTCAATAAATTTTTCACACTACTACTACGTTGATTGACTGTTGTATGAAATAGATTCCCAGATAACAGTAGTGGAAGCAATCTGCCACTCAAAAGGCAAATTGAAGCACTCACCAGTGGTCTTCTATTCTCTAATAGGTAGTTGACCATGTCCAAAAAAAACTGGATTTTGTCACTAAAAGACAATATGCTGCCAGTCCATAGCAGTTCATGTTTCTCTGTTGTGGTACTACTGCAAACAAAGACAATGATGCTGGGGTGCTAATAGCAACATCAATAGCAGTTCCCTTGCATGCAAATTTGCCTCTTCTAGTTTCCTGCCATAATGTAGAAAGATAGCTTTGTAGTTATATGCTTTCACCTATCTGTGGAATAAAAGGGAATAAAAGATGTCATTGCAGCTGTTTATGTTTGTCTCACAATCAGAGATTTTCTGTATGGAGCATCTGAAATCTGCCATGTATGTGTGTATTCACATATCTACTGGCCGAAACCCATCTCACAGTTGAATCAGAATGGTCCAGAAGATGGAAAATTTGAATTAAAAAGTCATTTTGTTTCTTTCAATCTGATGATGTGTCCTTTGTCAAACTCCATCAGTTATGTGTAATTTCTATGACAACATTACACAAGCATGTCTGGTGATCACAGACCTCCAAAACAACAGTTAAATTGAAACCTATGAATACAGTGAGCCTCTGCAAGCCTTTTTTTATAGACACTGGGTTAGTGATTTTAAGACACTTTGATGGCATTACCTTATGGGCAATTAAACCACAACTATAATCATTACATAAGTTAATTGTCTGTTTACTGTAAATCTTGGCATGTAGTTATTTGTCTGAGAAATAACTATTGATATATGCCAAGATTTACAGTAAACAGACAATTCTATCTGCATGTATAACTTTCTCAATGATCATATTGTCCAAAATGTTACCTTCATAACATTATCAATTGATATCAAGAATTAAATCTGTTAATTTAAATCTGTTAAATTCAAATATCTAAAAAAATTTTTAGATATTTGTTGAGCTGCAATTTGAAAAAGTTGTAGATTTATAAATTACCACTGTTGTTTATCAGTCCATTTGTTTGTCTGTCTTTCTTTAATTTCAAGAACAGAATTAGATAGATGAAATTTGAGACCAAATATGGAAATGTTGGAATCATTATTTATACAAGCTAAAAATTTGGAGGCAGGAGGCCTTGATTAACTATATATGAACTTCTGATGCAAACTGGAAGTTGTGTTATTTCAATTCAAAATTTTTTTCTAAAAGAAGTTAATAAATGATTGGCATGACTCTATTGCTAAAGGAAAAGTATGATGTACAGGGACAAGACACTATTAATTTGAGGTGAAGAGCATATATTTTAAATGAAATAAAATAAATTAAAACTATGATTAAAAATTGCAGCCCAGCATTGTGACGATGTCACAATAAATAATCATTTGTTATCTATGTTTTTAAATATAGCGTGCAATGCCATAATGTTGTAAATGCCAAAAAAGAAACTTTTCAGGAGAGGTAAAAAACATTTTTTCTAATGAATGAATTTATTTCAATTTTACAATAAAATGGTAAAAAACTCACTAGGTTACAAATTCTCTGGAATATCAAAATGATGTAAATATAAGGCACAAAGTTTTACATGCCAAAAGTCACATGACTTGCACTCTGTCACTTTAAATGTTATATTTTCACATAAATTCAACATACAGCCACTTACACTGCCAATATTGCCACAAGATTCTTTTGTGGCAGAAAACATTGCATTTAGAATTTAATTCTTCAATAAAATGTATTTAGAAAAAAATGGCATTTACATTATGGCATTACATGCTTCAATTATCAATAATAAAGACAAAATTGTTTACTTTAAATCTGTTAAATCTTATTGACAGTTTTCAATTTAATGTAAGGATTCAGATAAAGATTTATCATCTGATTTATGTGTGATAAACTTTTAAGAAACATTATACGTCAGTAAGGTTTTATAGAAACTAACTTCTACTACATGTTCTTATAATTTATATACAGTTTATATATGTAATTAAATACAAATATATATTTTCTTGTTACTTCTGAATGCTAATTTTTGATAGACATACCAACTTATTAAGTAGAGGAGAAGGTGGTATTATGGAACCCCATTTTCATTATAATGAATTGTAAACAAGGTATCATAACTACACCCACATTTTTTGTGCAAAACGTACTGGTAACTAAGATAACTACTTCCAACACTTTAACACCTCGTTGAATAATAACGATCCACGGAAAAAGCCTTTTTTACGAGGGTTATTTTCACAATTAAGTTCCACAAGTACTTTCGATCTCCACCGAGGTCTGCTTCAGGTGGTGACTGTCGACCCGACCGTTGTAACGATGTTGCCAACGAAGTAGATAAATAAACGTGCGCGTCGGGTTTCACCCCTCCGACCGCCATTGCTCGAACTCCTCGAATAAATACTTCCACGCCTGTGCAAGTGTTTCCCCGTCCTTGTAGTTGATGCAGTTGCCCCCCCTGCTAGCTTTGTGAATCTCCCAGGCCTCCGGGTGACGGATGTGATCCGCGCGGAACACGTGTCTGATAACTTTGGTGTTCCGGAAGTCCGCCCTTATTTCAGGGTCGGTGACATAGGTGGATAAGGCAGTGGTGTGTCTTTTATGCTTAATATCAGCTTGGTGTTCGCGTATTCGTTTCTGTGTTGATCGGATGGTGGAGCCGATGTAAACTAAGTCTCTATTGAACCTGTCGTCCCGTATGGGAATGGAGTAAACACCTGGGGCCCTGGTGAGATCGATTGCGTCCTTCGCGTTGCGCAGCAAGTCGTAAAGCGTGCCGGTTCTTAAGTACGCGATTTTGGTGCGGCTGTTGCTAGCGATCTCCCTATATAGGGGGTCTAAATGCCGGTTGAAGCGGACGACCGCGCGTTTCGCGTTCCCATCCGGTTGTCGGTTGTCGTCCGGCGATGGTAGGGGGCTGTCCCTGCGGCTAGGGGGGCGGCGAGCGTATGCGCGTGCTAAACCGCGGACCAAGGCTTTGTTATAACCATGTTCCACGGCAATTTTTTCTATGCGTCGGATCTCCGACCATGCGTCGCGCACATGTGTGTGGTGCGTGAAAGCCCGTTTGGTAAGGGCTCGGAAAGCCGCCATTTTGTAAACAAAGGGGTCAGAAGAGCACGCGGGAATGAACAGCGGGAGTTGGTCAGGTTTATGGTAGACGCTCGTTTCTATCTTGCCCCCCCTGAGACGGATGTTAACATCAAGAAAATGAGCACTCGAGTTGCTAACCTGTTCTAAGCCGAGGGTGAGGCCATATGCATTGTCGTTCATACACGACAAAAAATCGTCCAGATTGGGAGTGGTTTTCCACAGTATAAAGATGTCGTCCACGTATCTTTGGTATAGACTGATGTTTGGTAAGAATTTGGGCAACACTTTCTCCTCCAATTGTCTCACCACCAGCTCGCAAAGGTCCCCCGAAAGCGGGCTGCCCATGGGGACACCTCTTCTTTGTAAATAAGTAGCCCCGTTAAACTGGAAGACCGAGGTGTAGCACATAAGATGCGCCAGCTCCAATATCTGCTCACGGTGCCGGAGGCAAACAGTTAACGGGGCTACTTATTTACAAAGAAGAGGTGTCCCCATGGGCAGCCCGCTTTCGGGGGACCTTTGCGAGCTGGTGGTGAGACAATTGGAGGAGAAAGTGTTGCCCAAATTCTTACCAAACATCAGTCTATACCAATGATACGTGGACGACATCTTTATACTGTGGAAAACCACTCCCAATCTGGACGATTTTTTGTCGTGTATGAACGACAATGCATATGGCCTCACCCTCGGCTTAGAAATAGAGACTTAGTTTACATCGGCTCCACCATCCGATCAACACAGAAACGAATACGCGAACACCAAGCTGATATTAAGCATAAAAGACACACCACTGCCTTATCCACCTATGTCACCGACCCTGAAATAAGGGCGGACTTCCGGAACACCAAAGTTATCAGACACGTGTTCCGCGCGGATCACATCCGTCACCCGGAGGCCTGGGAGATTCACAAAGCTAGCAGGGGGGGGCAACTGCATCAACTACAAGGACGGGGAAACACTTGCACAGGCGTGGAAGTATTTATTCGAGGAGTTCGAGCAATGGCGGTCGGAGGGGTGAAACCCGACGCGCACGTTTATTTATCTACTTCGTTGGCAACATCGTTACAACGGTTGGGTCGACAGTCACCACCTGAAGCAGACCTCGGTGGAGGTCGAAAGTACTTGTGGAACTTAATAGTGAAAATAACCCTCGTAAAAAAGGCTTTTTCCGTGGATCGTACTGGTAACTATTAAAGTAAATGTTCCTAATTGGATTTTTCTCTAGTGTAACTATAAATATGGTTTTTGAAGGTTTCTGTACAAAAAGTCAGAAAGTAGGCTTAGGGAAAACCAGGTGGTAATATGGAACCTTAGTGTATGTTTTCAAAAATGCTTTAATATATCCAAAAACAAATAGGAAAGTACAAAGAATGTTAAATAATTACAAAATTATTTATTCCAATGTATTTTATCGCAAAAATGATTTAATAATAATAATAATAATAATAAAGAAATGTACAAAGAAGAAGCTAATCATTTTCAAAAATTACAAATATAATGCTCCTATAGTGCTAGGTATCTATTTTTACTTTTCTCACTTTCCTTCTATTTTTTCATTCATCTACCACATACTTTTACAAAAGTTAGACTGGTTCCATATTAAAAGCACCAATTGGGTCCGTATTTCACGCGTCACCATCTTGAATTAACTTATGTCTGTCAAGACCAAGTTTTAAAAAACGTGAACATCACACAGATTAATATGTACCCCTAAGTCTCTGGAACGGAATACATGCACCGGTAAACCTACAACTACAGAATTTATATTTTAGAAATAATTAAATTCACTTACCATTCAAAACTTTCAAATTTTGAAAAACACAAATATGCTAATTCACTACGGACAACCGTTTAACTGAAGTGAAATGGGTTTTCCCCTTGCTATGGATGTCTGCCTAGTGCAGTTCAGCCACAATTCACTACAGTTTGCCATTACAGTGGTACCTCAGGATACGAAATTAATTTGTTCTGAAACTGAGATCGTATCATGAAAATGTCGTAAGGTGAATAATTTTTCCCCATACGATTACATGTAAAACCAAATAATTCGTTCCAACACGAAAAACACACTCAAATTAAAGCTAAGTTGTACATTGAAAAAAAATAACTTTAGTAAGGAAAACACTGAAAAATGCATTTTGTAATTGTAAATGTATAAATAACCATAATAGTATAATAATTAATAAAAAAAATGTAGTTATATTTGCACTTTACCTTTGAGGATAGATGTCGATGGAGGTGTAAACTGGTGGCGGAAGAGAGGGAGAAGGAAAATGATACTAAAACTTAACTTACATAACATAATGTAACAATATCTTAAAAATAATTTAACACTAATTTTTTAACTTTTCCGTTATATGTATATTTTAAAATCTTTTATTCACTGCTTTTTGCCGCCTTTCATTCACTTCCACTAGCACTTTCACTGGATACAGGTCGCTTGGTAAAATATCTATCCAAACAGGTTTGGCTTTGTCTACTTTTTAAAATGTTTCTAAAATGACTTAGGCAAATGTCATTATTCTTAGCAGCAATACGGCCAGTGTGAACCTTTTTGGGATGTTTCTTTTCAATAAAATCAGTCACTTTCTGATAATACCTCAAGATTTCTTTTATCGAGCGAGATCCTTCCACGACGAAGCAAACACGCGGACTGAGACCAATGAACAGAAGTGAATAAAAAAATGGCGCTGCGTACTAATGTAACGTCGTATGGTGAGTTTTTGTTCGTACCGTGGAGCAAAATTATGTTCGAATTTCATGTCGTATCCTGAAAATTTCATATGCTGGAGCGTTCGTATCCTGAGGTACCACTGTATTATCAGTTTGAAATGGAGGGGTTCCATAATACTACTGTGGCGGTACGCCATGTTTTTGTAAATAGGGGTAGATATAAGTTTTATTTCTCCTAAATTCCTTTGTCTTTAACGTTTTTCTAGAACTTTCTAACCTATTCTTTTTCTATGGGTGGGGGACCTTTGTCCAAGGACAAAGGGAGAAGACAAAGGGGACATTAAGAAGCCCTGAGGCCATCAGGAAAACGAACAAGACACTTTTGGGGTCAGCGTCCGAGGTGTGCAGACGTAGGAAAGAGCAGGCTAGAGGTTTGTCGCCTAGTGGGACAAAGAAAAAGAGAAGGCTTGGAAGTGGTCTGCGAACGGATGAAAATTGGAAGGACACCCAGATTAAGACTTCAAAAAAACGCTCTTGAATTCTCAAGAGACGGAAATGAGAGGAAGAAAATTGATTCAAGTACCGATATAGAGAAGATCGGAGACTCCCAAGTTTACCCGGGTACCCCCACAAAATCTGTCCTTTATACTTATCTCTTCTCTTCATATCTCTTAATTTCTTCACCCTTCTTCCTTAGCATATAAGCTAGATTAAGGTAGATTTAAGTTAGTTGTAGTATCTCAAACCATAATTTTTTTTATTGTCGCGAGCACGTGTCCTCTGCTTGTGAAAACATAGAATTTTGTCGGACGGATTTGAACTTGTGCGCGTACTATAGTTTGGGATCAAGTGTGTTCAGTGTAAACGAACCAGGTGTACGAAGGACCACGTAACTGTAGTTAAATGAAAATCCTGTTTAATTAATAGTTACTTCTTTGTCATCTTTTTTTTTTGTCCTCCACACCACCACACCACCTTCTCCCTATATTATTTTCTAGAAACAATTCTTGGTAGATAATCTTTCTCTGGGCAGGTGGCCTGCAAAGAGCTTTGTAAATTTTTGCCTACTCTAAATCATTTCCATAAGTTATTAATTACTTTATTTGTTCTTTCAATTTCTTTGAAAAATCAAAGTTGGCAAAAATTTATATCACTAACCTAGATTTTTAGTGAGTTAAGCTTCATCTAATCAGCTTTTTGTTATGATAATGATGATATATGTTGGACTCAACATCAAAGAATCTACAATTTTATGGTCTGTTGTACAATAGATGAATTTATCTGTTTAATTAGAAACATATTATGTTTATTATTTCTTATAAGTAGAAAACTTCTGGCTATCTGAAATTTTGAAGACCAAGATATTAAAATTTTCATTATTATTACTTTTAGGCTTTCCAGCCCATTTTCAGGAGGTTTCAAGGCAACAGTAACAGAAAATGTAATTTGGATTCTAAAGCCATATCATAAACCAAAACAAACCAGGTTTACGATATTCAGTGTTAGAATCCAAATTGTGTGCATCTTGTTCTCCCAGAAAACAGATAGCAATTGTTTGAGGAATTTGGAAAAATAAATTTGTGTGGATCTTAAGTATAATTTCACAGTTCTAATTTCTTTGTTATTCAAGACAGTACTGTAATTATAATAAAATAAAAACTGACATTATACTGTATAATAATGTAATTTATAAAACTTTATTTATGATGAAAAATCTAAAGCTTTTAAAAAATTTTAAAAACTATTTATTAAGAATATTAGGAAAATAATAGCTAGTTAATCTATTATTAAATTAAAATATATCCTGTATTATTATTATACATATAAGGGCATGCTCCTATTTGTGTGGACATATGGTAACTTTATGTAACAGATTATATTTGTATCATTTCATAATAAAAATAATAATCTGAACTGGTCATAATGATTTATGCATAATTTTTGTGAAAGAAATGATATTATAATATAAAATTATGAAAAATTAGATAAAATTCTATGTTTTATATTCAGATTATATCAAGGAAAGAACTTTAGAAAAAAAAGTAAAAATAAAACAAAGTGATGAAGGTGCAAGAAAAAGATTTTTGAAAGGTCAAACAGTTAGAATGGCAATATTAGAACATGATGAAGAAGAATTTGAGGAACATTCATGTTACGGTCAATCAGTTAAGCGTCGGATTTGTTTATATTTGTCAAGGTATGAAAACATTTTTACTTCTAATATAACTTTTTAATTTATGAAATGACTTTCTGATTCTGTCCATAATCTCTTCATAACATGCAAGTGATATTTACATATGTTACTTTCACATGGGATTTTTCTTGAATATATTTTTCAGAGTTTTTGCAGATTAGGAATATTTAATTTTGAATAAAGTATGTTTGTTGTAGCAAGAGTTTGACAAAGATCTTTGTAATATTTATAATTATTTTTTTTAACACTTTTTTAATAACACTGCCTAAGAAGTGCTGTTAAAGCAATCCTGGCAAAAGAGGTTGTCTTAAGGTGTTATTTGAGAAAGCCTGAAATTATGCCATATGTTGAGCTAAAAATAAAAATGTAAAATTAGTTAATGTTTCTTTTATATATAGATTATACATCTCTCAGCCATGGCTTGTTTTTAACTAATGTAAAACATCATATTTCTAATTGTGTAATATCTAAAATATAAAATAGGTTCTGATTATAAATTAACAAATATAAAATAAAAATTATAAATTTTTTTTTTTTTTTTTTTTTGTGATTTAATCCATTTTTTAAGATGATAAATTATTACTCAATTTTGGATTTTAGGTCTGGAGTATTGATCTCATGAGCATAAGCAATAAATGCTGATAACAATTACAATAAAATAATAATAAAGTATTATACTGACAAATTTGAGAATTTTTTAGGCAAACTGACTTTTATTAAAAATGTAGGAAGACAAATTTTTATTCTGTCATATAGAATATAAATTATTTTCATGGAACAGTGACAGCATAATTCATATAATGCACTTTAATTTCTTCACATGGACATAGTATACAACTGATAACTATAAAATAACTTAACTCCAAAACTAACAAAATAACAAAAAAATGAATAAAATAACTGAATTAAATGACTAGATGCATAATATAATTGGCTGAGAGCAACAGCAATGAGAATTTAATGAAATATATTTGAAAATTTGAATCTTTCATCATTTAGTGGATTGAAATAATTTGAAATTATAATATAGAATTGTTATACTGTTCTCAGACCTCATAATCACTCTTCATATTTGTATAAAATTTAAAGATTTCATTTTTTATATTTAATTATTAACAAAATATTATTTTTTGTAAAAAAAAAATAATTTTAATAAAGAGTATAATTCTAAACAAGAAATTAAAATTTTACAATTTTTAAATTTGTTTTTTAATATCATAATATAATTTCTTTTTGTGATCTGAAAAGTTATAAAAAAAAAATTATGAAAATTATTATATTAACAAATAAAATAAATTTTAATTTCCATTGTTGCAATGGAAGTTTTACAATTAAGGATAATGTCAGATGAGTATGATTTCATGTCTGTCAAAAGCGACAGACATCACAGGATTGCAAAAACATGGGAGCAGTCAGATGGACGTGGACACAAAAAATTACGTTGTTTGGCATAGATGGGTTGCTGGATCATGCATGATGATCTTATAACTGAGTGTGATCATTGTGCACTGGGAGATGCACTCAAAGCCTATGGTCATGAAAAATGATGGATATGATAACATTGTTTCAAGGAAATACTGGGTCAGTGTCGTTCCTGCTGAAAGGTGTACGGTATCTGTATATTGTAAAAAATGCACATTGATATAAGTAAAATGATCATGCAAATTAGTGAGGGGCTAGAATTGAGAGAAACTTCATTTGAACTTTATGAAAACAGAAATAAGAAAAAGGAAGACAGGTTACAATCAAAAGGAGTACCCAATATTGCTTATGTTTTTTTTGGTTTGTTTGTTTTTAAATACTTCTGTATGTAATAAAAACACAGCACATCTACGAGATTTGTGTTGACATATAAGCATAAAAAATAAAGCTGACTACTAATGTGCTTCGTGAAAAAAGCACTCCTCTGACCACCGACTTCGCCACTGTGAATTTTTACATTTATGAATAAAAAAAAATGGCATCCATGCATTTTCACACTCATCTGATATTAGCCTTAGGATGACATATATAACATTTGAAGCACTCAGATGACAATAAAATTAACAAGCACTGTCATTTGATAATTTTCAACAGATAATATATTATTCACAGTAGTTGGCACAATTTAACATCATTTAGTGATGAAGAATAATAAATATTTGAATAATATTTATATATTGATCAATATATAATTGTCAAATTACATATGCCTAANACCCTAAAGGAGTTCTACCTATATACCAAGTCTCATCCTGAAGTGAATTTCCCAGGTCATGCCCTCCCCTTGTTAGATTAGAATAGAGTTTAATTTTAAGTTAAAGGACTACCTCATCATTGTTCTAACAGGAGTGCATGTGGATTTATACTGAACAAGTGGAAAAAACTTTTTGATACATGATAAAATTCATTAAACGTGTGTATCATTGTTAGTTTATGAGTAATTAATTTTAAAGTTATATACTTATTTTATGGACACCCATAGCAGGGATGGCAAACCTTTAAACATGTTTATGAATGCCAAAGTTTTAGACTTTAAATAACTATGCTTAAGTAAATAAAATGAATATGCTTTAATTAGAACAAATGTAAGGAAGCTGATTGAAAAAACAGTGATAAACCAAAATCATATTATATATTATGTGCCAGTTGATTTCTCAGACATATCCCTTTGGACATGTGTGCCATAGGTTCATCACCCCTGCCCTTTAGTATCTGATCAATATCTACATTTCTATAAAATCACTATAACCTTTGTTTAAAATTTTTTCAACATTATTCCAAATAATGTAATGAAATGTAACACAATTTAATTAGTATATATAATATTTAATCAAATTGATGAGCCTGACAAAATTTTATATAAATTTTAGAAAAGATTCTTTACTTCATTTCTGTTNGTATATAGATTTATCCTATTGAATGATTACTTTGCCTCATCAATAATTCATCAAATTGTTACAAATACATATAAAGAATATTTGATGAGTATGGAAGATGTACTTGAATGTACTGGAGAAGTTGAAAAAATGTCTTGTGATCTTACTGAAGTTGAACTAGAAGATGAAAAAGATGATACTCGGGTAAAAAACTTTTAAAATGATTTATTATATTGTAGGTCTAATTAAATATTCTTAATTTTTTGGAAGTATTTAATAATGAATTTCAGATCAAAGAAAGAATTTAATATTTATAATTAAGGATAAAAAAAAATCAAAATTAAATTGAAATTGTCAACAGAAAACACAAAAGATCTGGAAAAACAAACATGTTTTTTAAAACAAATAGTTATTTATTTTAAATGTAATGCCATCAAGACAATATGAATTTTTTAAAGTTATGACTATGAGTTGATCTGAATTATAATTTAATTGAAATTTATATAATGCTATATTGAAATCTTTAAAAATCTGTTTATATAATTTATTATATTAATACTTTTGCTGCCACCACTGAAAGAAAAAGTTGCATTGAATATGCCAATTTATTTGTTTTTCATAAAATAAATCACTTCTAGTTAATACACTTCTAGCACCAAGGGGATGAAGATCTGGGACTACTTGGAGGTATTGCCCGGATGTGAAATGAAGAGAAAAGTAATATTTAGAGAAGAGGCAAAGGTGAAGTATAAAAAAAGATAGGAAAGGAGATGAAGGAGAAAGGCTCATGGGCATCAGCATCATTTTATTTATCAAAACCAACAAAATGTAACAAAAGATTGAGTACAGTGTGGTAACATGAATACAGAATTTGTGTACAAAGCCCACTACCACTAGTGGGTACAGATAAACAGGAAACAAACAGTGTATACAAGTTTATAATAATTATTATAATTATAATAATACAAAATAATTAATATGACATGTAATATGTATTAAACATTTTTTAAAATGAAATTATTTATTATAATAAAATTTTAATATTTATATATTAAAAATACTTATTTTAAAAAAATTTTAGAAAAAAAAAAATAATAATAATAATAAAGACCAAGATTTGAACCCTGAACAATATGGTGATAGCCAAGAACACTATTGACCGAGCTGCTCAGCAGCTGCTGACCTAGTGAAACTTATTAGTACTTAAGCTGAGCTTGAATTTTTAAAGGTCTTTTTCTCAAAAATTGGCTGGCCATTCCACTTTCTTGTTTTGAGGGTTGAATACCCTAAAGGAGTTCTACCTATATACCAAGTCTCATCCTGAAGTGAATTTCCCAGGTCATGCCCTCCCCTTGTTAGATTAGAATAGAGTTTAATTTTAAGTTAAAGGACTACCTCATCATTGTTCTAACAGGAGTGCATGTGGATTTATACTGAACAAGTGGAAAAAACTTTTTGATACATGATAAAATTCATTAAACGTGTGTATCATTGTTAGTTTATGAGTAATTAATTTTAAAGTTATATACTTATTTTATGGACACCCATAGCAGGGATGGCAAACCTTTAAACATGTTTATGAATGCCAAAGTTTTAGACTTTAAATAACTATGCTTAAGTAAATAAAATGAATATGCTTTAATTAGAACAAATGTAAGGAAGCTGATTGAAAAAACAGTGATAAACCAAAATCATATTATATATTATGTGCCAGTTGATTTCTCAGACATATCCCTTTGGACATGTGTGCCATAGGTTCATCACCCCTGCCCTTTAGTATCTGATCAATATCTACATTTCTATAAAATCACTATAACCTTTGTTTAAAATTTTTTCAACATTATTCCAAATAATGTAATGAAATGTAACACAATTTAATTAGTATATATAATATTTAATCAAATTGATGAGCCTGACAAAATTTTATATAAATTTTAGAAAAGATTCTTTACTTCATTTCTGTTTCTCTAAAGAGAAATATGCAGATTGTTTTGGATAAGAATTATAAATAAATTTTAAGTTTAGACATTTTAAATGCTAAAATATTATATTATTATTTTAAACTAAACATTATATTTATTTTACTTTTAGGAAAATGAACCTTCTAGCAGGAATAATGCCTTATTTTCTATTTTGCTAAAGTTAGAAACTATGGATAGTAAAAAATTTGAAACAGAACCAGAAGAAATAGATTTTATACAGTGTATAGACAGAATTTATGAAATCAGTAGAAAAAAGATTTATGAACATAAATTCTTTTCTAATGATCCCTTATTTGATTATTTTGTGAGGTTTGTAAATGTATTAATTATAACTTTTTATAGAAGTACAAGAAAATTTTGATAATTTTATATGAAATTAAAATATATAGTAGAGTTAAAAATAAACTGAATTTTTAATGTTGCCTAACAATGACTGTAAATGCAAGCATATATGTGGTGGAACATTTTCTTAGTCATATCAATACTTCTCTGATATGCAGTGGATGCATATATTTGGATAGATTACAACAAAAAACAATGTCAAAGTACACAATGTTCAATGTTAACTCAGGACATTCTTCAATATTTTAATTCTTGAAGTTAGACTATTTACAAAAATATAATAATATTTTCGAGTCTATCATTAAATCCTTTTACACAAACCACAGAAGACACAGTTACATTGGTTAGAAGATAAAACTTCTTTAAAAGACAAATAATAAAAGGTAAAAATTCACAATTAGAAATGATCAAACGCCAGCCTTTTATTGTAGGATCTGACGTTTTTAACATTAAAAACTTAAGAATCTTCTCACCAACTATCAAGTCCTTTTCCAAATTTTATAACTGGTTCATCCCTCTAGTGGTAGTTACGAGTCTATCATCTTCATTTGCATAAGTTCACAATGTTCAATGTTGACTCAGGACATTCTTCAATATTTTAATTCTTGAAGTTAGACTATTTACAAAAATATATTAATATTTTCGAGTCTATCATTAAATCCTTTTACACAAACCACAGAAGACACAGTTACATTGGTTAGAAGATAAAACTTCTTTAAAAGACAAATAATAAAAGGTAAAAATTCACAATTAAAAATGATCAAACGCCAGCCTTTTATTGTAGGATCTGACGTTTTTAACATTAAAAACTTAAGAATCTTCTCACCAACTATCAAGTCCTTTTCCAAATTTTATAACTGGTTCATCCATCTAGTGGTAGTTACGAGTCTATCATCTTCATTTGCATAAGTTCACAATGTTCAATGTTAACTCAGGACATTCTTCAATATTCAATATTCAATATTGTGTAAAAGGATTTAATGATAGACTCGAAAATATTATTATATATTTGTAAATAGTCTAACTTCAAGAATTAAAATATTGAAGAATGTCCTGAGTTAACATTGAACATTGTGAACTTATGCAAATGAAGATGATAGACTCGTAACTACCACTAGAGGGATGAACCAGTTATAAAATTTGGAAAAGGACTTGATAGTTGGTGAGAAGATTCTTAAGTTTTTAATGTTAAAAACGTCAGATCCTATAATAAAAGGCTGGCGTTTGATCATTTCTAATTGTGAATTTTTACCTTTTATTATTTGTCTTTTAAAGAAGTTTTATCTTCTAACCAATGTAACTGTGTCTTCTGTGGTTTGTGTAAAAGGATTTAATGATAGACTCGAAAATATTATTATATTTTTGTAAATAGTCTAACTTCAAGAATTACAATGTCAAAGTAAATAGTGTGAGAACATCTACTGTTGGAATTCTGAAATGACACATTACAAGCAGTGAAGCAATATTAAATTTTGTATTAAACTTTGTAAACAGTTTACAAAAACATTTAATCTGCTTAAAGAAGCATATGGCATGTCAAGTATACAAGTGTAATGGCACATAAAGCAACAGAGGACTATCTCCATCCAAGTAGATCAGTTACGGCAAAAAACAAAGAAATGATTACTTGAGTTTATGAAGCAATGAAAAATGACTGTAAACAATCAGCAGATGATCTGGTTAATGTTCTAAAAATTTTGCATGGCTCTGTACAAGTTTTTCATAATGACTTGAAAAATCTATTGCCTATTGTTCTGTTGTTTTTATGTAGTTAAAGGATGAGCAATGGGAAGGCAAGAATAAGTTCTTGCCTTCCCATTACTCATCTGTTCATCAACAGAAAACTGATGACACAGTTGCTAGAGATCCCAATATTCTAAACAGAGTAATTACTGATGGTAAAACCTGGTATTTTTTATTTATGGAGAAAACAGGTTTTATTGACATGGAAATCAGTCTTTTCATCATGGCAGAAAAAATTTCATTTTGACAGATCCAAGGAAGAAGATAATGCTTATAGTTTTTTTTGTATGAAAGATCTAATACAGGGGTGTCCAACCCACGGCCCACGGGCCGAATGCGGCCCAAGGCAAGTTCCAATGCAGCCCAATAAACGTGTAAACAAAGCCGACAAATGCTTTAATTTTTTATTATTTATTTATTTCAACGGCATAAACTCAAAAAAAAGTTTCACAAAGCCGTAAACCTTTATTCATATTTTATTTTTGAGTGGAAAGAAAATATTTTCAAACACTGTACTTGGAGATGTGTGAATGCGAAAGGATTACTAAATAAAGCTGGAGTTGTGACTCAAAGGATTATAGACCCAAATTTGGAAAAAGGAGGGAAAGATGAGAAAGGACAAAAGATGTAGTAGTGAGAAAGGTTAAATAGATCTTCTGTTCAGCAAATATGGACCCGTAATTTTTCAACTTTTTATACTTCTTTATCTTTTGTCCTTTGTCTCTTTATCCCGCACTTGGGTCTATAATCCTTTGATTCACAACTCCAGCTTTATTTAGTATTTCTTCCAACGTTGCAAGATTTGGCTACATTGGGCCAAATGTGGCTACTTTTTTTTGTTTGACGTAAAAAATATCATTTGGCGCTTTGGCTACTTTTTCGGCTACATATTATTTATAATTATATTAATTGAATAAAAATGCACTTTAAAATGGTGTTTCGTCGCTTTTTATTAATTAGAGACCCAAATAAAACAAGTAATTGCGTTTTTCAAATAAATTTTCATTTGTCTCTTTTATAATAAATGAATTTATCTATTTCTAAGTAAAAATTGTAGGTGTCTGTAGAAGTAATTTTTTAAAATATCCTTTTTCTTGATAAAGTTTTAATACTTATTATTATAATCTAGACATGTTAATTTTTTAATATACTTGTATATTGGGCCACAAGTATATATTATATATATTTGATTTGTGGCCCAAAACTCCCTGACTTCTTCCAATGCGGCCCAGAGAAACAAAAAGGTTGGACACCCCTGATCTAATACATTATGAATTTGTTCCTAATGATTGACTTATTAATAAACAGTTCTACATTGATACTCTTTCTAATCTTTATTATGTAGCAAAACAAAATCAGTCTCAACTTTGAAAAATAAAATGTTGGATTTGCCATCATGGCAATACCCTGGAATATCCCACCCTCTTAGCTAATGAATATCTTGCCTAACACCATAAGCCTGTACTTCCATAGCCTCCTTAATTACCAGACTTTGCTTGCACTGACTTTATTGTCTTTACCAAAATGAAATTTCTAGTGAAGAGCTGCAGATTTAAATCAGAAGTAAAAAAAGTGCTCTGACAATTGCATGAAAAATTGATTGCAAGATTTTCTGAAGTAAAATCATTGAAAGAGTGTAACTGCAGGGTTACTTATTTTAAAGATAGTTTTAATTTTAATTATTAAATATAAAAATTATCTACTATTTTATTAATTAATTTTTTTTATTGTTATGTTATTGATTTGATATAAAGAAGTTCAGCAAGTTAAATGCATGTTTGTAGTCTTAACAAAAGTATTTTATATATATAAGGATGTTGGTTTGCTATACACTCCTAGGCTGTTCAACCAATTGCTACAAAACTCAACAGTTACATTTACCTACTTCTAACTTAGGTAATGCCATACAACCAACCCCAAAATATCTATTAAATTTCTGTAAATCAATTAATTAATATCTACATTCAATTTGCTTATTTACACATAGCACCATGCTATTGGCAAAAAATGTAACAAAATAATAAACTAAATATAATTCTTACAAAAAAGGATATAATTTCAAAAAAACAAATATATTATTTAATTAATTACTATGACAATGATATAGCACAAAATAGAGGCACTATATCCTTACTGCTACAGGTAGCATATAGCACTTGCCACTCAGATTTTTTCATTTCTATATGGTACTTTCTTAATAAGTGCTCTATGGTAACTGAGTAGATAAAACCACTGAACACTGTTAGTTTGTCATGGGTTTGAACATGGTCAATGGGCTGAGCATGTAGTTTTTCAGGTTTTCTCTATGTTAGCAACACACAAATAGGATCCAGCTTCCCTTAAAAGTCTTCCTGGAATGCATCCTCTCAGCAGATCGCTGATGTGTCGTGTTGCTGTAACCAAATAAACCAAACTAATTCTAATGAGTGATTATTTATTGTAACTCAATAAATTTTCTTGACGCCAAAAGAGACGCTTTCCTGTGATCCAATTTGAATATCGTAATTGATGGCCAAAAGAGGAAGTTGCTGCCTAATTCTCCCCAATGCAAGAAGTTGCCACCCAGTCTATAATGGCAGTTGTCGCCTGTTTAACCATGGATATAGAACCCTGTGTTACCCTACAGGAACATCAATTATTATCTTTTGCTGCTAATGGATTATCATCTCCTCTGGTTCTCCTCTGTCTCCCGAGTCTATCCGCCCAAGAACGAGACCAACTCCTGTCTTGGATCGAACTTTCCCTACCTTTGAGCTGTTCTTGATGGACTCTGAACTTTTCAATGAAAGATTGAATGATCATCTCATCTATAAGTGTCTCCTAAACCTCCAGGTATCTGTAAGAACATGCAATGTCACTCTCATATCCAATGTCTAATTGTCTTGCTACTGTTAGTCTGTAGATCTAGTACGAAAAATAAACGGGTATTTGTTTTGTTAATCTAGTCTCTGAGTGTCTTGCTTCCAATGCTGTCTCACTCACCTCCATCCGAATCTGATCACGCCATGCGTGACTGCTTGCGTGACCTACTTCCTAACCCAAAGGAACTCGCCGTTGCGGCTTCCATGTCACACGAGACACAGTGGTGTCAGTTCTGACTAAATAATCTAATATTCTTAATCTTTGCTGTTATTTTTTCTCTGAGCAATGCTGTGCTCATCTGCTAGTTATTAAATAAATGCTTAATAAAAATAATTTTGTAATATTATACTGCTTTAATAATAATATTTTAATGATAACACCAATATTAGTAATAACAATATTTATTTTTAGACCTACAATTAACTCTATAAAAGAAAAAAGAACTATTGGTGGAGGTCCAAATTTAGGAACAATGTTTGATGAAGATGCAGTTCTTAAATCATATTTTGAAAAAATTAAGGTAATTTATAGTATGTCTCATATAACTACTATATAAATTATTATATCAAAAAATATGAGGCTCACAATAGTTTGTTTATGCAAAACATCATAAGTTGTACAAAAATCTCAATATTTATTTAAGAGTTTAGTAAAAGCTAACCTGATTTTCTGCATTGGATAAAAAAGTGACAGTCAAAATTAGGCTATTTTAGAAATTTTAAAGATTAATTAAATTACTAAAATAAACAAAATGTTTAAAACATTAAAAACTAAGAGTTTATTGAGTAATTATGAAAAAATTCTAATTATTTTTAAATGAATTAATTATTTTAATTAATTCATTTAAAATTAATTAATTATAAATGAATTTAATATCTGGAGAATAGTGAAAAGCTTTTTGAAGACTCAAATTAAAAAATATTCTATTTATGATTAAATCATTAATACATTTACATATAAAATAAAATTTTGACAATGTGAATTAATAATTAAAAAGAAATAATAAAATTTGTATCAGTGTAAATAATAGCTTAAGGTTTCCTGATATAAATTTGATACAATATTTTTATGATATCCTTTAACTAAAATGCCAAATGTATAATGGAAATCTTAAAGCATTTTTTGCTCTGACATGTATTTCAATACTTTTTAACATTATTAATAATATACATAATTAAATTATGTATATTATTTATTTTAAAATGAGCAATGTATAACTCTAAAATAAACTCAATTTCTCTTTTACTGTTTGTTATACACTGTATTATATTTTTTAACTTATGATGATTTGATTGATTCTTTTATTAGCCAAAATTTCAGATATGTTATAAGATTTTAATATAAATTTAATGAAAGTTTATTTTTGTAAGCAAATTACAATCTAAAATTTTATTTAAAACTTAGGGCTGTATTACAGAAGGTTTTAGAAAAGTACATTCTTATGCATCTTCACTATGTGATGTAAAAGAATTTCACTTAGAGAATATAAATGCTAATTTAAGAAATATCTTAGAAAAAACAATAGGTAATGTAATATTTCATGTTTCTTTAATGTTGATACAAAGTATAATAGCTTGCAAATAAGGATATATGATTATTAATGTATTTTTGAACAAAAATTAATATACAAGAATCATAAGTACCTTTTTGATATTAATATATTCATTAATATTGTGAATATTGGATTCATTAATATGTTTTACAGTGGTGTTTCTTACTTGAAATTTAATTCATTTCAGGGGGCTATTTGAACTCTGAATTGTTCAAAGTCCGAATCACTTTTCCCATTAGAAATAATGTAAAGCAAATTAATCCATTCCCAGACCCTGAACAATACTCATTTTGATTAAGTTAAATAACAACTACATATAAATTAAGCTAAAAACAACACAATTAAATGTTTTAAATAGTAAATTAAAACAAGAAAACAATAAATAAAATACATAAATATTATGTAATAAAATGAAAATTGCATTTACTGTACCTTAGAGAGGAGTGTTGATGTCTTGTTTCTGAAGATTATTAAGCAACTGCTTGGCTTTCTCACAAATAATCCTTTTGGAGGTGTTATCACCAGCCAATTGCTTCTCATTTATCCATACTAGGAAGAGTTTTTCCATCTCAATAACATATGATCTCCTGGCAATCATTGTCACACCTTTAGCCGTATCTGCTGCTTTTATTGCTTTTTGAATGATGCACATTATTGACTTCTCCATCTTAAACATGACTGCCAGATCTACCACACATGTACCACTTTCATGTTTCCTGATAAGTTTCTTTTTCACTCAATCATTGATACTATAACCTTCCTCTTAGTCCTCATTGCTTTCACACTGTACTTGGATGCCATTGTTAATAGGTAGGGGTTACATACATAACAAAATATACCAAAAATAAAGTAAAAAAGGACTAAAACACATGACCATAATGTAAGAGATGCTTTTACAGCAAGAGCATGAGATATCATGGATGCACAAACAGATGGTGTTTACACAGCTTGTGCATTTTTTCATTGTGTGTGCAGTTTGAATGTAGGAACATTGTTCAAACTTCAGATCTGATTTCTCTTGAATTTAACATTTAAACTCTGGGATGTTTAAAGTTAGAGTTATTCAAAGTTCTGTACAAGGTACCATTCTATATTATTTAGATATCAACTATTATTATGATAAATTTTATAATAATTAGATATTTTATTATTTTCTTTCTTGGTTTGTAAACAAAAAAATAAAAATAAAAAAGAACTGCAATTCTAGACAATTGAAATTCAGCATAGAATATTGCACCAAATTTCTCTTTGGTTTATGAATCAAGAAAGATATAGGATACTCTGAATCCCAGTAAAATAATTAATAAAATTTGTTTGTTTATTTGTTTTGCTTATCATCTTTTGATATCTTGCTCTAGTTATCAATATAATCAAAGGTTTTTCTAATTGAGAAAGTTATCTTTATTTCATCATTATGTCTTTGCTTCTAGAAACTTATTATAGTTAATTTAATCTGATTTTACCACAATTACAATATATTTAAATTTTTATTTTGACATTTATATTACATTTTCTTACTGAAAGTAGATTTTTTTTTCTTGCTTGATAATTTTTACCATTAATTAATGGTAAAAATTATCAAGTTATCAAATTATTGTAATTGTTGTTAATGGTTTAAGTATACAATATCTGTTTTTACCAAGAGATAACTAGAATCAGTTTTTGATTTTATTTTTCAAAAAGAAAAATATTACTAAAGTAATTTCTACTTGTTTTGATTTATTTATAAATCTTACATTCTAGACTGTTTCATTTTGGAAAGAAGAAATGATATGTTTTGTGTTGTATAAACAAAACTTCTTGCAATTTCAGTATCCATTTGTACTTACATTTTCATTTATAATTGTGATTCTTAGAATCTTTCACTTGCTGTTTTATATAAGTTGTATTTTAATTTAAGTTTAAAGAAAAGTAATAATAAGGATTTAAGTACATATCCTCTTGCTCATAATCCAAAAAAGGCAAACAGCAGGCAAAAGTAGACGACAATCCTACAAATCATCCATTTAGCAACTTTCTCTACATCTTCCTGACCAGACAAAACTCTTTTGCTTCAGACACACTCATGCTTCTTCTAGCACATTTCCTCACATTTTCTTTCTGACTCAACATCTTACATTCTTTCAAATACTCATCCATTTGTTTTATTCAAGATTTTCTTGGTCTTCTTCCACCATGCTTACTATTTACCTTTCCCATGTATACTCTCTTTAACAGTTCTCTTTTCATTCTCTTAACATTTCTAATCCATTGTAGAGTCAATTTACTCATTTTTTGAAACACACTCTTCACCTAACATTCCTCCAACATTTGTTCATTTCTCACATAGTTTTTCCTCATGCCACACGCTCCTCTCAATAATGTATTGTAACTCCTGTGACTTTTCTGCCAAAGCCAAGTTTTGCTACNTTTTAATATTAAAAATTTACATTGTCAAAAATAAAGAAAAACTTGTTGTTTTGACATTAACAGATGAAACCATAATTAGGACAGAACAAAGCTTTGATCACAGCTGCTAAATTGTATGGATAGGGAAATTGTTGGCATTATTCAATAAGAGTATGACAGTGAAGAGAATAAGATAAGGAAGAAAACTTACTCTCATAATGAAGTCTTTAACCGTTTCCAAACAGCAGTAAAATAGCAACAATAAAATCACTTTATTATTATTAAATAAAAACCATTTATAAATAATTAAAATGTTATAAAATTCTGTATTTTATTACAGTTTTCACATACAATGTACAGTATATGTAATAAAGGGCTTTTAAATATAATTTACTTTAAAAATAATGTAAATCATAAATTATATAGTTAAATGTCATTTAAAAAAAAATTTTTTTATATGATAAAACCTATTTATTCTGTCTCTTAGCCATCAAAATCAGTATATTAGTAATATTCATCAGATTTATCACTTTGTAATTTTTAAAATTAATTTCTGGAATAATTTTAGTTGAAGATATCACATGAATTATATATTTTGATATACCATAAACCAGGGTTACTTCACGAATGCAGGGGAAACCTTGTGACATCATGCTTGAACAATTTTTTTGAATATGGCAAGTTTATATCCATTTTAAAATTTATTTGCAGTTAAGGTATCTACAGCCTATACAGTGATATTACCTGACATAGAAAGTAAAAGATGTGTTATTTTTCATTATTTGGTGTTCCTTCTGATAATTAAGAAATCAAGTGTTGTATGAAGTGTCTGATCCTTGATTTGATTATAAGAAAACAAAAGTGGTTGACATGTTACAAGTGTATTTATTTTAATAAAAAGTAAAATACATCTGGATAAGAGTCCAATTTTGCTTGCCATGTCCAATCACCAGGAACAACTATTTCTATTGCAGAGACAACCTTTCTTTAGAGGCTATGCCTCTGCACAAATATGCAAAACAGTTTAAAATGTCCGCAGGTGACAATCCCAACACAATTAAAAATATAATATTCTTTGTAGAAAAGGCAGAGCCTCTTTGTGCAGAGGCATAGCCTCTAAAGAAAGGTTCTCTCTGCAATAGAAATAGTTGTTCCTGGTGATTGGACATGGCAAGCAAAATTGGACTCGTATCCAGATGTATTTTACTTTTTATTAAATTGTACTTCTGCCAGTCCTTTTCTACAAACAAGTATATTTATGTTAAAGTATTATTCTTGTTATTAATTATTTGTAAATACAGTTTTTATTAATTGGTTTAGCCAGTGTAGGATACGAAAGTAAATTTCATAAAGTTGAGGGGTTATTTTGTGATAGTATACAAAGAATCTGATCAAAGCATAGGGAGTGAAATTGCATAATTATTAGTGAACAGTGAAATAAATCATCCCATATAATAAAGATTTAACCTAGAAGGCAAAACAAATTAGTAATCATGTAATTGTATTATAATTATTTATTTGCAATATGCATTACAATTATAATTTGAAGAGAGGTACTATTATAGATTATAACAGAAGTGAAAGAGGTGGTGCACATATAAGTGCAATGGAATTTGCTGTAAAATGTTGATAGTGGTCTGAAGAAAAACAAGAAATGGCTGTCTTGATCATTTTATTTTATTTCTCTCATATTCTTGAAAAATTTTCTATATTTAGTATCATGTTGCCAACAAGTTCTAATTTTCTTCTGGTAATAATAAAAAAGAAGATTTAGTGTTTATTGAGGGATTAGAATTATTTGTTTGTGATAATTAATAAAAGTTAGTGTTTCTAATGAAGGTTTTATATTTCTCTCTTTTCCTTTCCACTAGCAATTGCTGCAGGGAAACATTAACATAGAGTTTACTATAGATTTATACAGTGAACAGGAAATTGCAATGTTACCCCAAGTGATTGGGTAAAATTGTGACTAATATTTTTCACAATATTGTTTAAAACAATAAATTAACAATAAAGGAAAATGTTAAATCTTCCTAACTGACAACTAATGACACATTTTGTCCAATAATCCAATATTTAACATTTAAAAAATATGAAAAGTATTACAAAGCAACCCCAGTTTATGGTCTGAGTATATTATAACAATTTATAACAACATATTCATTGTTTTATATTGTGATGTACAGTACATAGTAGATGATCATTAGCTAATGAAGGCGAATGTACCAAACAAAGAACCATGCACAGTATATGGCTGAACAAAGTATTTATTTTTGCAGAACAGATACAGGTTCTTAAGGATTCCAACTCAATAACAATAAATGGTAACATAGTGTTACCAAAAATTATCAACAGACAAATGACAAAAATATCACAACATGTACAGGGAATTGAGATCAGGTAATGCGCTAATTAATACTTAAAACTAACTTATACTAAAGAAGAGAGAAGTCAGAAAGGGAAGGTAATAAACAGCAAGATAGATAACAGAAAATAATAAAATATCCAGGATGTATGAAGGTTATACACTTTCGGTGGGAGGTCACGTGGAACCTGCTTGGACTGATTTTCAGTTGTTGTCTTCCTTTTCCTTTTTTGTTTTTTGATTCAAGACTTGCTGTATTGTCACTTAAATAAGTTCACTAATCCTTCTCAGGCT